ATCTCTTCATCTTTGCTTTTGGTTGACGAATAAAAAAAACGTAGGAGACAGACAACATCTGCTGAGAAGTGGGACAGACAATCTGTTACTCTGCTGAGCGTCACCTGGTCAAAACTCAGCTCTGTTTCATTCTGCTTTCAATTATCACCTACGCTTTGTTTTAATTGTCTTTGTCAGAATTTTCTGAAATTTCAGGTTTCCTTGTCAACAATAAAATCACCTGCTTTTTCAGATTTATCCTCTTTGGAGAACAAGTCTGTTTTCTGTCTCCTAGATACTACATTTCTATTTCTACTCGTGTGATGTAATCATTGCCTTCCCAAATACGAGGGTTATACACAAGTAACTGCTTCATGATTATGCAGGATATTAACAATTTTGGTGCATGAAAAGTGTGTATTGGATGTATACAAGTTTTGATTAAATGTTAAAAATGTAAACTGTGTCCTGCCTCATGTCACTGTCGACCTTTCCAGCATTTAACCATAAACGTGATTTTTCCCAAAAGAATCAAAATCCATGAAGAACAATTAGAGATGTCACATTTCTGTCTGATGCTCACATGAGCCACAATGCAATTTGACTAACAACAGCGGGTCGTCCACCAATCAGAAGATAGACAGTTCGATCCCCGGCTCCTCCAGTCCACATGTCAAAGTATCCTTGGGCAAGATACTGAACCCCAAGTTGCTCCCGATGGCTGTTCCATCAGTGTGTGACAGCGTGTGAATGACTACTGAATAGCAGGTGGCACCTTGTATGGTAGCCTCAGCCACCAGTGTGTGAATGGGTGAATGTGACTCGTAGTGTAAAAGTACTTTGGGTGGTCAGAAGACTAGAAAGGTGCTACACAAGTGCAATTTGGTTCGAGATTAGAGTGTATTACGAAAGCAGCAGTGAATGTGTGCTGCCAGCAGACATCTCTCTTCTGTCTAACTTCACACCTCCTGAAGTCCTTAACCGACGCTGACTCATGTGACATCACCTCGTCCAGCGTCTCTTTCGGAGACACTAAAGATTGTTCACACTTTATACATATTCACATATGCAGCAGTTCTTCCCGGCAGCTGGAAACAGAGCTGAAACTTAACACAAAAAGATGCTTTGGTTGTTATGTTGTTGTTGTTGGAAAAGCAAATGGCATTTTCTGACTTTGCAAGTAGGTTCATTAAAGTGTATGAAATATTAATGAATAAAAATGTAATTCATATGACATTTATTTAAAAAATGTATTTGCTGGTGCAAATTAGCTGTATAAAAACATAGTTTCTAAGCAACAGGGTTAAGGACAGAGAGCCGAAACCAAGACAACAGATGGTGAACTTCATTCATCCATTTCCGTAACTGTAACCGTTTATCCTCTGCAGCCTATCCCAGCTGACATTGAGTGAGAGGCAGGGTACAACCTGGACAGGACACCAGACTATCACAGGGCTGACACATAGAGACAGACAACCATTCATGCTCACATTCACACCACACGGACAGAGACCTATCCCCAACCTGTACGAGACCTGTACGAGAATCTCACACAGCAACTGTTGATTAAAATGTCCTTTAAACTGAGCACCTTAACTGTAACTTCCTGTCTCAGTTTGTAAATGGACAACTGTAACAGCATCTACCACTTAACAAAGTCACAACCATGCTTTCACAGCTGCAGGTTCGGTCCAGTGAACCCTTTCCTTCCTGCCGTCGTGCACCTGAGCAAGACTCTGCAAACACAGCTCCTGCTGGGTGTTAAAAGTATTGTGCAGTAACTCTGAGGGTCTCCATCCTAAACAGTTTCCCCTTTTACCGTCTATTTCAGTCGCAAGGTCAGTTTCAAAAATAGCTCACAGCTATGAATTCACTTTCAGAGGAATTGAAAGGTCAGAAGTGGACGACGCGGCGGCAAACATATGAGAGACGGTTTTGATGTCAGAGGTCTAAAGAAGAGCAAAAAGACAACTGCTATTATTTTATTTATCATCACCTTCTTGACCTTTTTATTTTACTCTGATTATTATTAGAGACTCTTTTATGTCAGCGTTTGTTTCTTGAGTCAAATGGTTAACAATGCTGTCTGTAATAAAAACATGAATGGTTCTTGATCCTGAGTCGGACTATAAAGAACCACAATGCAATGCTCATAATTATTCTGGACATTAACATGTTAATATCACACCCACTACATGATCTAAATTATTCTATCCTGCATGCTGCCATTTTTTAACTTGTCTTTATATGGTCATTACAGCAGTTAAATTATTTTATTCATGCACACCTGACTTCTCCGCTAGCTGGCTTCTGATTGCCGAGCAGTGAGCTCACGCAGCTTGTGACCGTCACATACTGCCAGGTGTCATCACTGTCAGAGAATGTACTGTACATCACTCTGAAATGTATAATATGCAGTTTGACCATATTTACCAGCAGCACAGAAAGCACCTGACATGACGTCGTCACTCAAACACTCGGGCATGCTGCTGACCTCTGACCTTGATCTGTGATTGGCTGCGGTGCAGCGACAGGATGTTTGGAAGTGTGACTATTTATTTCTTGACCACCATGAACCTGACTCTTCACAGTGATATCACCGCATTTCTGTGGCCACATGCCCGGCGTGACGAGACGCTGCCAAAGACCGTCTATGTTTGAGGAGATGAATCACTCTGCAGATAACAGGAAAGGAAAACTAGTTTACTAAAAAAGGACATTCACGTTAAAGCGTGTTTGATTTCTCTAACATCACATAAATGTCTGAACATTTAAAGAGAAAGTACATTAAACATTTACATTTTCAACTGGAGCTTCTGAGCAAAAGTCTCTTTGCCTCACACAAGCAGCTTGTTTTTGAGCAAAAGTTTGGTAACTTTTCCTGTAGAGTGTTGAGTTTAGGTTGTTTAGGTAACAGCTGAATATGTGCCTCAGTTGAGTCTTTCCTTTTGTCATTAAATGCTTCAGTTAAGTGTGCGGCTTCTCTCCTCTGGTTTTTGATGTTCTAGTCTACAGTTAGACAACAAAGGTGTGCATTTTTATTCTCTTCATTTTTAAATATACTTAGTTTTCCATGAACAATTATATGTACAGATTATTATGTACAGAGTACCTGAAAGTATCCAAAAGTTGTTTCAAATGAGAGACAGTCAAAATGCTTTGAGAGGTATTTTCATCAGTGAGGACCAATGCCCAAATACATAGCATCTCAGTTAAAGGAGTGAGTTAATAGAAGAGTTGTAGTGAGGAACTGAAAACATGTAGAACATTAAGTAGGTTTAAAGAAAAGTTTAAGAATAACATATTGATCAAATGGATGATCAGACTGTAATATTGTAGAAGAACAGGGTGTGGGAACTTAAAGTGTGTAAGTTGCCTTTTGTTAGTTGTTTGCCTGTTTTGTTTTGTTTTGTTGTTGATTGCGAAATATGATGTGCTGTTAAAAGTGTAAGTGTTTTAAAGGCGTGGCTTTGGCCAACACCTTTTTTGGACTGCAGAAGTGTCTAAGTTATATTAATTGAGCCTGGTCTCAGTCATTGAAATCCAGCACTTGGGCAGGGACTTGCGGTGTCAGAAACCAACAAAAAGGTGTCCTTCAATATTGGCACGATACACAGCCGGTTGCCGTTATAATTTAACCGCACCCTTGCAACAGGACAAGGACGAAAGTTAAGACGGCCAAAGTCCGATTGGGGCAGGTGGGAGAGGTGGTGCATGGGTCCAACAAACACCGACTTTCAGCAGAGAGAGTGGTGTTCGTGTCCCATAAGACTCTAAAGACAATCTCTGTTCTTTTTTCCTAAAGCTAACCAAGTATTTTTGTTGCCTAACCATAACCACGGGTGTTGTACTGACGTAGTGTGTTTATTTTAAAAGAGACTGTATGTAAAGGTTAAATTTCCTGTGAAAACGGAAGTGTATCTTCAGAGAAGAGAAGCTGACACAGTGTCCCAGAACATCAACAACTAACGCACCTTTCCCGTCGTATGTGGACGTGGAAAGTCCATGACCAAAACGTCAATATGTGATGAGGTCAGAGTGAGAATTTGTTGGTTAAATTACTTTATTGTAATGCTTTGCACTGTACTATTTAAGTCATTTTCTGTGAGAGGCTGTGACTTTATTTACATGAATTTGTAGATTAATAAACGACTTTCTTATTTCTATTTGCAGGCCAAAATAAATTCTAAATTCAATCACAAGATCTCTTTCTACCCGCAGATCTGTTTCCAGTAGGAAGTTCATATGGCCATGTTCATGTGTGGTCACTGTTGTTAAGCTGCACCTAATCAGAGGAGACAAGTGCAGTTTTTAGGTGTCTTCATGATGTTATTTGGGGCCATCACTCTCACCCAGACTGCATAAAATGAAAGAAGGCATAAACGCGCTACTTCAAACTAATTACCGCACACTTGTTCTGATTACAAGTGTATTGAAACTGTTGCATGTAATAAACATCATGCTGATTTTTTTGGGCAAGTAGCAGGAGCAGTCAGACACAAATCCTCCGTTTTAGACAAGGCTATCCGAACTGTCCTTTGGTGTTGAACTGCTGTGAGCACAGGTCTTATAGGTTAAAGGTAAACCACATGTAGCTCTGAAAAATACCATCAGCATTTTCAACATTCAAATTTTTTTCAGATTTCGATAATGAAGCTGGTATATTATAGAAAACGTAAACATAACCAAAAGTAACGACAGCTAAACTATAAAACGTTACCACAAATGTGACCCTCCAGCTCCTCTACCAAGATTTAAGTCGTCAGACTTTGAGGCAGAGTGACATCTCTTACCTCACCTCCATCTTTGCAGGGTGACACAGAGAAGCCAGCAGCAGCCCAAACTGGGCAGAACTGAAAGTGGGAGGGGCTGAGTGTGAAGGGGATGTCAGTAGCACTGAACATGCCAAATGAGCACATGAAGACAGTAATGTGATCTGAGTTGAGTGACAGGCCCCCTATTTTTTTCTGCAGAGATTTGACAGGGCTATATAAGAGGCCGAGGCTCCAGCTGCAGGCAGAAGAGACAGACAGAGAGACGCTGACCATCACAGCAGGCTACCAGTGGACTAAACTCTAGCTCCAATTACGCACAGTGCTATTGAACTATTTTATATCAAGCAGAAGAAGAAGAATGGGACTGCACAGTGTTGAGGAACTGGTAAGATCTGCTGATGTGTGTGTATGATAGCATTTCTTTGTAACTGTGTAAAGCATCCTTGGGTGCTTTAAAAATGTTATTATTTTTTAAAATTATTTTTTAAATTATTATTATTATTATTATTATTGTTGTTGTTATCATAAGGGCACTAGGAGGAAGAAAGGTAACAAAAAATAAGCTGTATAATTTCTATTTCAGGAAATGTTCAGGTCTTAAAATAACACATAAGATGCTCAAGTTTTTTTTATCATGCAAATAGGTTATTTTTCTCTGGTTTCAGTAGATAAACAATTCTCAAAATTTGTTGAACTACAACTTATTTATTTTAGAAAATAAGCTCTTCTCATTCTATATACTACTATATACTCATACTATATACTCTGCTTGAAATTAATGATTCTTAGAATAAGTCAACTGTGGACACCTTTCACACAGATATTTAAAAATCATTTTGTCATTTATTCATTTATTTAACCTCTATTTAATCAGAGAAAAAGAAAAAAAAATACCTCTCAAGTTTAAAACCCCTTTTTTCAAGAGTGTCCTGGCCAACACGGGCAGCAACATAAAGTTTCAAACAGACAACATGGAACCAAAGCACAAAATAAAAATATACAGCTCTTAAACAAGCAATATAAAACACCTAATGAGAGTACTACAAAGATACATGTAAACTGTATGCCAGTTCCAATCCATCTATAATAAGAATGATATATAATAAGAAATAAAATAATAACATAGTAACACCATCTAGATAAAGACAGCAATAAAAACACTGTGTAATAAAAATGAATAAATAATAAAAATGATAAAAGAAGGATAGAAACTACACACTCAACACATTTACTGTTGAAAAGCCTTTCTGTAAAAATATGTTGTGAGGAGCATTTTGAATAAAAACACTAAGTTTGCTAACCTGAGTTCCTCAGGTAAGGAGTTCCACAGCTGTGGGAGCAGTTAGGAGGGTCCTACATACTATCACTTAACATATTGTTGCATATAATAAAAGGTGAAAACATGAAGAAGACAACCTATGAAAGGAAAGGAAAGAAAAAGCACTCTTTACTTACAAACTGATCATTGCAGCAGTGAAGTAAAACTTTTACACGTGACATCAGGAAAGGAAACCAGCTAATCAGGACCAACAATCCTTAAAAACAACTCAGAATTACCTCATTTATGTCCTCTTACCTTAACTCAGGGTTCCTTAAATGACCAAATTTAATTGCTTAATTGTTTCTTACTGTGCACACGCTGCTTTGCTACAATTTAAGGCAATCTCATCTCAGTTATTTCACCCATCACTGCTGTTACTGCACTTTTACATTTACATCTAATATCTTATCTGAGGGGTCCTCCTCCCTAATGATTAAAAGTTAAGTCATATGATTAATGGGCTATTAGCGGGTTGAATGATTACATGAGTGGTTCAGTAATTGGACATACAAACAGTTGTACCTCATTAAAGAGTTGAAGTGTGTGTGTTAATGTGTTGGAGCTGTGATGTGTTTACATTCCTCTGTTAGCAGCAGGACTTTGCTTTACAGCAGCTGAACGCTGAGAGCTGCTGTTGTGTTTAACTCTGGACCAATATGAAACAGAAACTGAGATTAAGACATTACTGTGGGAGTCTGATAGCAGTTTAGCCATTTTCTTATAAGCTCTAGTTTTTTGTCTCCACTCAAAATACACAGAAATTTAAGAAGTGCTCACTTTCTTTAAAGATCAAGACAGAGCTTTAGACTTTTATGACCTTTTATGAAAACTCAGAGGAGGATTCAGGTCTCGTGGTGTTTGTGTGCTCCACAGAGACAGTCGCATCAGTGTAACACATCTTAAATCAGGTTGCATTTATGTCTCCTGTGTAATGATCCAGGCTCAGAGCGTGCAACATCTCCATCTCTTCTCTCCCTCAGGTATCCGGTAAGAGGGCAGAGGGCAAGGAGGCAGCAGACTTCCAAGGGGGCGAGTATGAGGCGGCTGTCGGTCAAGAGAAGCAGGATGACCGCAGGTCCCACAGCGAGCTGGTGGGCGAAGGTCTGTCAGAGGAGAGCGACAGTGGCAGTGAACATGAGGAAGTCAGCGTGGCAGCTCTCAATGTAAGAGCACAGGAGACAAACAGCAGTGCTACTACCTGTTGTTATCAGGTAGTAGCAATTCCACAATATACCAGTAATTACTCCCTATCAAGTAAAACTTCTGCTCTGACATTTATGTAAGTGAAAGTACAGACGTATTATCAGCTGAATGTGCTTAGAATATAAAGTATAAGTACTTGTCATGTAGAGTAGATGCTGTCGGTGTTGTATTATTATATTAGTGGATCAATATTATTGATGCATTAGCTTGTAACGAGTATTTTTCAAATCTAAAAAAAACATTGTCTTTGTACAACTTTGACAAGTCTGTGTACTTCAGTGTGTGGGGTGGATTTATGGGATGGGATAGCTGAGGAGTTAAAGGGAAGCACAACTACAGAGCTCTTTAAATATATGTACAAACAGTATATTTACGAGGTATGCAGATGAAGAGGGGTGATGCTGATGCTTGGTTGAGATGGGGTTTGTATATTCAGTATCTAAGACTGTTGTTTATTTATCTTTATTAGTGGTTGTAAATAAGTTTGGGATAGTTGTTGATGATTTCCTTTTGAAACTGTCCAAATTTAAAAAGGAGTTTGCTCAAAATAAAGTCAATCATTCGTTTATAGTTTGTAGTTTAGAGTAAAAAGTATTCTCCTCTGTCGAGGGAGGGGGAGGAGTAGAAGTATAAAAAAACATAAAATGAAAATACTCAAGTAAAGTAAAAGTACTTTGTTACATTCCACCATGGTAGTTAGTCAGTTACATTACATTGAAATGTGCAGCCCACCTGGACCAAGCCTGACATCAAGTGTTTGAAAGTTTGAAAGTGAGTTTGTCTCTTGGTCCATGCTGCCACCTAGAGGCAAGTGGGAGTATAACACAATATTCAATTTATTTTTTTGTGCTGTCAGTGTGTGTGAGTCCAAACACCATGTTCATGTCATATGTGTATGATTCATTTTTCATGGTCTGATTTTCACACATACTATAGTGATGGTTAAAAGGTAGGAAACACAACAGTGTGAATGCTGCATTTCTAATAATGGAGATCAAAAGAAGAGTGATATTATTAGTACAGTTATGAAGTTATGGTACTTAACTTGGGTGTTTCCATTTTGTTTCTACTGCTGATTAACTTTATTACACGGGGGAACTATTCACTTTTTATACATCCATTAGCTAACATACACAGTATGATTAAATCACACTCTGACATATACTAACACATACCCCTACTCTCTATATTTAAAACACACTTTACCGCCAAGTACTCGTTTAGCATGTAAAGCAGGGGTTGCAGTGTTTAGTATTATTTCACTTTATTATTCAGTGAGTGAGTAGAGGAGCAGAAGCTGCTTTTTAAATAAAGTTTATTCTTTGTTGCTGTGTGCTGAAGCCCTATGTCTTCTCTCTGCCCTGTCAGACGGATAAAAGCGGCAGGCTGAAGTTGGAGACGGTGGATGACCTGTTCAACATCCTGCAGCTGAGGAAGAGGAGGAGGGAAAGGAAGGCTCCCGTCCACAAGAAACAACAGCCAGAGCCTGAGCTCGTGGTGAGATTAGATTCTTTATTTCTTTGTTTGTGGAGTTGATGTCTCCACAAACAAACTTCCTTTTCAAAAGTACAACATATACAGTTATTATAATACCACTGTTCTGTTTGGGGTCTATTTCTTTCTTTAAACAACAAATGATACAGCTTTCATTAGTTATCTGATGAGGACAGATACAGTATACATAGATAAACTGAAAACTAATGCTGTGTGATGCAATTATACTATTTATTGTCACGTAACAAGGTACAAAAGAGGACTCAATTGCAGTAGAAGTAGACAGACTGAGAAAAGACCTTCTCCCTCTCCTTTGTGGAGTTTTATAATGGCTGGCATCGTTATGTGTTGCATTACCGCCACCTACTGGAATATATCAGTTTGGCAGTGCAAACTGTTTACAGTGTCAACCCAGTGTGGTCCCATTCACACATTCTCTGCTCTATAACCCAGACTCATTTGTATGAATTGGTGCAAATCCTTCCCTAAGTATATTGTCTATGTCCTTCCCCGAAATGTCCATGATCTTCAGGAGTCTTCAGGCAGCATGAGCACCACCTTTATTCTTTCTGATTTGTATTTCAACTGCATATTTTGCAACCATGGCGATGAATGTCCCAGTGTTTTCAATGCAGGTATTTTTCTCTGCTCTTGGAGGTTTCCGCATTTGATAATCCCTCTTCCACTCTGGATTTATTCAAATTTACTTCTTTAACTCTTCTTGGACATTGTGCTGACCCCATATGAGGATATCCCCCACAGTGCAGGAACTTTGCCTCTCTGTCACTAACACATAATTATGATACACTTGGAGAGTTCCCCTTTAAACGTCAAACACGCTGATTTCCTGTCCTTCATTGACAATGCCACTCCATTCACTACTCCCTTCCACTTCACCTCTGAAGTCTCGATAGTCTTCAAATACTTGAATTTTCAGGTCAATATCTATCAGGTGCCTCGACACACACTCAACAATAACTGTTCCACTTCTTGTAATCAGCTCTCCAACCACATGTGGATCCTTGAGTTCCTTTTCCCCTTCCTTTTATTTTTCCTTTCAAATCTTGTGTCCTCAATTTTGATTTCGCTCTCTGAATCCTGCTGCAACCTGATTTCCTCCTCCATCCTGCCAAAAGACATGGGGAGCACAAAGACTGAATACACAAGGAGAGCAGGGAGATAACGAGGGATTGGGGACAGCAGGGTTGATGACGAACAGGTGAAACAAATCAGGGCAGGGCAGGCATTCAGCAAGGTGGCAGGAAGTAAAAGCAGACATGACACGTGAGGAATAAGCCTACAAAATAAAACAGGAAACAGACGAAACATTAACAAATAACATGAAACATTCAAAACTCTGTTTTGCAGTGAGGTAACTAGAAGGTAAAGTAAATACAACAGGATACAGTAAAGACCCAGTTACATTGCTCCTTTACCTAAAGTTCTTTTTTTTTTGTTGCCTTTTTTTTAACCTTCCAGCCAGAGTTTGTGGATGAGCAGATGTTTCTGACAGCAGCCATGGAGAACAAAATGGCTGTGGTGGAGAAGTACCTGGCTGATAAAGGAAACCCCAACGCAGCTGACCATGTAAGTGTCTTGTCCGGGAATGTTTTATGTTTTGCTTTTATTGATCATGAATTAATTTTTAATTCATCAACTGTTTCTATTCACTGTCCAGTTCCAGAGAACTGCTCTGCACAAAGCCTCATTCAAAGGACATGTGGAGGTCATGAAAAGACTTCTGGAGGCCGGTGCTTCCATCGAGAAAAAAGACAAGGTGAAACATTTTTAAACTCACATCTTAAATCTCTCATATATGCACGTGTACTCAGGTTACCTTTGAGGAATATACATAGACTTACAGTCATTTCCTACAGACTTACACAACCATAACCACAACCCCTAACCCTTACCTTCCTCACTCACCTAAAAATCAGCTGTCTCTGAATTGGGGACATGGCATTGTCCCTATTTTACTGGTCTTTATGTGTCCTTGAAGGTAACCTAAAACATATACATATAAAAACACACACACAGAAACGCCACCAGTCCAACAGTGTGGTGTTTTTGTTTCAGCTGGAGGCCACAGCAGTCCACTGGGCCTGCAGAGGAGGCAGCCTGCCGGCCCTGCAGCTGCTGCTTGACCAGGGAGCCAAGTTCACCTACAGAGACAAGGTTGGTACACACACACTGGGCAGGCAACATGTGCAGCTTATGGAAATCCCTTACTTTGGCACCATCAGGTGGTGGTAAAAAAAAACAAAAAAACAAAAAAACAGCAGTGTCTTTGATGATTTCTGAATTTATCTACAGTGCTGTACACAAAATATTTAAACCCTCTCATCCCCTCAGCTGCAGAGCACTCCTCTCCATGTTGCTGTGAGGACAGGACACTGTGAGTGTGCCGAGCATCTTATTCACTGTGGAGCAGACGTCAACGCCAAAGACAGAGTAAGAACTTAACACAGACATCACCAGTCTACTCACAGCTACACTGCAAATTATTTCCAGGAAGTTAAAATATGTAACTGTAATATTTCACAATAAATTACATTATTATCACCTCACAGGCTTTACTGTGACATTTAACCAAATTCAGAATTTTATTGTGAAATTCATGCAGTTAAATCTAGTAATTTTACAGAAGCATTAATATATAGAGTTTAACTGTGATTACAGTGAAATGCAGTAATTCTACAGGAGCATTCTGCTAAATCACATTAATATATAGAGTTTAACTGTGATTAAATGTATATAAACTGTGAAGTTACAGCTAAATTCAGTAATTTACAGGAACATACTGTTATATCACAGTAATGTAATGGGCTTTAACTGTTTTACAGTTAAATAAAGTGATTTTACAGGAGCCTATTGCTAAATCACATTATTATATGGAGTTTAACTGTGATTATAGTGACATACAGTAAATCTATGGGAGCATATTGCTTAATCACAGTAATCAAATGTACATAAACTGTAAAGTTACAGTTAATTTCTGTCATTTTACAGGAGCAAACCGCTAAATCACAGTAATTTGCAGGCATAAATACTGTGATATCACAGTACACAGCAGTCATTTCACAACAATTTCCGATAGAAATGACAGTAATTTACTGTGAAAGTAATGTAACTCGTAGCCAGTAATTGATAGAAGCTGATTTGACAGAAGCAAAATGCAGTGCTACACACTTTGTACTTAGCCTACTCTTGTTAAATCATAAAAGAAGCAACAATAGATACACACACAGTTTTAGCTCATTGTGGATGTGCATCTTCGGACAGTTTGTAGCTACAAAATAATTGCAGTGAATCAATCTTTAAGGTAATGTAGCAGAACTGAGGGGCTTGTCCAGTGTTAGCTGCAGCTTAGCAGCAGTGTTTTTAGAGTAAAGGTTACAACAAATAGGAATTCTTTCTGAATCACAGTTCAAAGCACAAATTAAAAGATTCAATGGGAAATGATTGCCTATGCTGAACACCCATTTTCCTCTGTGACTGCAGGACGGAGACACGCCCATGCATGATGCTGTGAGGATAAACAGATTCAAGATGATCAAGCTGCTGATGATGTACGGGGCCAGTCTCAACACCAAGAACTGTGTAAGTACAGAGCAGCCACTGCAGAGCTTCACCCATCCAAAGACAACATATGTAGAGGCACCAACATCAGGGCAAACTAAGTCTGTTAGTCTGTCCGTCTCTGAATATTTTGGAATTCTGACCAGTGGAAGTTTCAGCTGGTTGCAATCTGCAATCCACCACTAGATGCCACCAAATCCCCCCAAATCTTCATAATTCACCTTTCAAAAAATCAGTTAAAATTTGCATTACGTTTGGATGGAAACCTAAGTACCAATATTGATCATGTTAAGTACTAGTCCAGTACCAGTCGAGAAGCTAATAACTCATGTTACTGAGTTACTCATGCGGGTTTAAATGCTTTGCTTCTTACATGCCAATAATTTGCGTTATACATGCCTAATATCGATGAATCAAGTGGAGCTCCCCCTGTAATGTCATCGGCATTCAGATTTTTCAGCTCTCGTGAAAAAGCACAACATGAAACTGTGCTACTTGCTTAATTTGCGTATTTTGCGTCATTCGCATCACATCTCGCCCACTGTGCCACCTAACCTAAGTACTGCACTTTACTTGTCTACTGCTTCTTTCAGTTTTTATTTACAGTCTTGTGTGTTTCTTCCTTCTGTGCAGGATGGAAAAACTCCACTGGAGACACTGAATTCATGGCAGAATGGAGCCAAGAGCCTCCTGTGTAACTTCAGCCAGGAGAAGCCCAACCAGTAGAGCCCGACACATTCCAGTAAAACCAGGAATTCGACATGAAACTCAGCCACAAGATCTGCTGGCTTATCAGGAAAGAAAGTGTTAGAAAAGAGAAAATTCTATTTTTCTAGCCCATTCTGGTCATTTCCATACTGCGGTGCACGACGCACACAAGTCTTCTTTTAATATCTATTTATCCAGTGAGGCTGTGCCGAGTGTTCACCTCACATTCAAACTGTCTCACATGTTGACGGACAGATATCGACCCCCTCAGGGAAAGACTGCGATTAAATCTACAGTTAGCTCAGCTGGAGCATTTAGATGTTGGAAGATATCTTAATTTAAAGAGCATTGGTCCTTACCTGGTTCAGGGATCTGAACTAGCAACCTCACTAACCTGAACGCTACCGGCAGGGTTAGACTATCACATATGACATGTTCTTTACACATCTTACAGTCACATGAGCAGCAGGAACTTAAACAATGATCAACAATGTGAATTCTAATCAGGATGTTGTTAATAATACGACTATTAGCACTGATAGATTCATTGATCGCCAAATATTGCTGGACAATGTCTCGGCTGACAACATGAAGATGTTTTTTTTTCCTTCTTTTTCTTAATTTTTACTCAAAGCTGAGTTGAAGTCAGCAATACTGCATCGAGAAGATGACATATTTATTAATTATTGACAGCCATCAGCAATCGATTTATTGGGTCTGATTGATTCATTTTGCTTAATGACTGAGTGACTTTCTAGAGTTATACTGTAGTTGGTTTGATTATTTTTTATGGTTAACCAATTATATTAACTTAGAATGTACTGATTTTCATTTACTAACCAATGGAAGCAACTGGGCGATAGTGATGAGTTTTTTTCAGATGCACATCACCTGGTTCACTGTCTTTGTAGTCCCATTGAATCAGCACACTGTGGATCAATTCCAATGTTAAACTGAAGTTATTTATCTGTATGAGTTATAAAAATGGAGGAGTGGAGCCTCCTCTTGCTGTTAGATGATGTGTGTTGTTATACTTAAACATTCAGATGAGTTAAACCAAGTTCTTTGGTCTTATGCATTGTAACATTGAGCGATAAGACAGGATGAAGTACGTTTTTGATCAGGATGGGAGAAATATCTCCACTCCGCTTGTTGATGATAAGATTTACACTTTAACTATGGTTTTTGTTTTAGTTTCTCTGGACAAGAGCAAAACTTAACTGCCAAGTGCCTTAGCAAAACAGTAACTTTTCAGTAATTAGTATCTCGTTCCTAAAATGTTGAGGCAGAGGGTACTTGCTGTAGCTCTGGTTGAGGCAGAGAGGCTGTCAGTAAATAGTTTGTTGGGCACAGGGAAGCAGAGATCTGTGTGGGTACATGAGACCCTAAAAAAGAGGGTGGATCACGGGGAGTACCACCTGTTGGTCCAGGAGCTTCGCATCCATTATGGACATTTCCAGGGGATGTTTTAGGATGACTCGGGGGCAGTTTGACAACCTGCTGTCTATCGTCGGGCTGTATAGCTCTGGGTATCCCGCAACCGCTACCACCAGTTTCTCCTCCATTTTTTACCAACTGAAAACTTGTTGTTGTGACCAGAGAGAAAGCCCGCCTCTCAAATTATCCAATTGGACAATGGCGAAAAAAGAGCTGACGTGGGGCACTTTTCTGCTCTGAGTTGAAGTTTTTTCAACTGGACGAGTTCAGAACCCTCCAGCAAAAATGCCTAGTGCCTAGAGCTCAGAAGCCAAGGTGTTTCACAACCCAAAAACGGCGAGCAAAAAGCTTCATTCTCCTTCAAAACCATTACAAAGAGGCGCCTCCAGCTGCTAAAACACTTTGTGTGTGATCAGGGCCTTAAGATGTGTTGTTTCACAGAGCGTCTTCCAGTCCAGTCTCAGTTATTTCATTCATTATATTTAAGAGAACTTTTTTCTTCAGACTCAAAACATTATTTATTATTGTAAAAATTTGTTTCAGTTTATTATTTATTGTTGTCACAAACAGTTGGCAACCCAACAACCTTGTTTATCTAATCTTCCTCAGACACATTGTTTAGACGTCTGTAGGTCTCGACCTCACGCAGCCTTCGGACAAAGTTCATCTTGTTACCATTTTCCCAGTTTCTCCCACTGAGGCTCAATTTGAGCATCTTGGGTCCAAACAATTTATCATCACCTATGTGATACAAGAAGAGCTTCAACTGGCCCCGACTCTACAGCAGTATGACCGTGGCATGCCAGCTGCTGGCCCCTTTTGTTTTGCTGCAATAAAAATGATCACACAAGCAAACGAGTGTGAGAGGGAAGAAGCTGAAAAGTCTTTGTTGGTTCAGAGGATGTTTGACATGAAGTATTCATGTGGATGAAACAGATCTTGATATATGAATTGTAATCAGATTTATTTTTTATTGTTGAAGATGGATGTACATTTTGCCTTGTATTTATGGATTAATTGAATAAAACTAAGTTTGAATGCCAGCCTTCTTTATTGAGAGACAGAGAAAATGATTCTGGAGCTTATTTATGCAGACGAATTACTAATTCATATTACTAATATTGTCTTTGGAGAGAGAGCAAGAGACAGAGGCTGGAAGCGGGAGTCTCATGCCAAAGACAATATTAAATCCAGCATGACTCAAGGAATTTGTGAACACTAATTACTAAAGCAAGATACATACAAGATTCATACATATTCAAATAGAGCAAGGCGAAGTTGAAACATACACATCTTTTATAGACATATAATTATCTACATCTAATCACCTATTTTCAATCTAAAATGGCCCCAGTAGGGTGCCAGAGAACTTTAAACCATGAGTATATAAACATAATTCCCAGGAGGCACTTTTTTTTTTTTTTTACTGAGGATCTCAGTGTGTTCTCTCTTCCATTTCAGTCTCTTGCTTATTTCTTTCAGTACTGAGGCATTCCCATTCGTCAACTGTTTGACTTTCATGTTTGGAACAACAAAGAACATGACTGATCTCTATTCACAGATGGAAAGAGCACACTGAGGAACAAGTGTGTTGGATATACAACATAAAAGCCAGACATTCTCCACAAGACGACAGCAACCAATTTACATTCTGTATGACTCTTGACTCATCTAAACTGTCACCTGGCTGCTTCACTGGGTGGCCTAACCTGTTTTCCATGGCTGCTAGTTACTTCATTTCACAGCTACAATGTCACTGCAGCTGTGAAATGTACACACATGCTGCAGCTGACCTTCATTTTGTGCGAGGTGTGCGAGGAATTCCCTGACTGAAGGGCAAAGCACATTTCAGTATCTGACACAGAATACATAAAGCTGAGTTGTACTCTTCATGACCATGCAACAACTGATTTGTAAGATCTGTATGTAAACGATAAATTTCCTGTGAAAACAGAAGTGTATCTTGAAAGTAGAGAACTTGACACGGTGTCCCAGAATGTCAACAACCAATGCACCCAGGGTACCTTGCACGTCGTATGCGGACATAGAAAGTCCGTGACCAAATATGTGACAAGGTTGGGGTGAGAATGTGTTGTGTTGTGTATGGTATTTGGTGATTTCAGTCAATACTTTAAAGCAACACAATGGAGTTTTGAGCCCTCAAAATATATATTGAAGGTCCTTGTGATAGTACATCAACTCACAATAGGTTGGATGACACCTCTGTCATTGCTTGAGAGCGTCTGTTTCACTTGCACTGGCACTATGCAGTTTGGGGGTTCGGGTAGGAACCCGGACACAAAAAAGACTACAAAATCTGGCTGCTTTATGGCATACATCATATGTCCTTCCTCTTTTTAGAGTAGCGTATAACTGATCCGAGGTAAACGAAGTTAGATGTGGTTGTCATGGCTGAAGCGACAAAGAAAAAGAAGAAGGTGAAGGTGTTGTCCGAGGAGACAAAGAAAAGAAAACGGGAGAGCAATAAAACAAGAGCTCAAACAAGGATTAATATTGGCCTGGCTTTCACACGCTGGCGAGAGCTGAAAGAGGAGGAAGGATGCCCGACCGATGGTGACCTGGCGCTGTTACCATCTACTTAGGAAACTCACTGTTTGCCTCCATTGTGTTTCTTTAAAGCCACTGACTAACGATACCCGGCCAGAAACAAGCCAATGGCGGTGACTGTGGGGCTGTATTAACCACCTATCAGGTATCATGTCATAAACATGAGTTGTGGCCCTAGTGAACACCCCCATACTGTGTATCCAACTGTCTTTAAGTATCCATCAGGCACAGGGTACAAGCATATAAATAAAGTTTGTTGTGTGGTAATTTCATAAAATATTCATTTATTTCCCAGCACACACCATTTAAGCAAAATACACACTGAGATAATGAAGGTGTTGTTTACAAACCCCAAAAGGAAGAAGCAGATAATTTTATATAATTTTAAAATAGGAGGAAAGTAATAGTTATATTAATACATAAACACTACACGTTGACACAGGGCCCCTCTACAAGACAGTCCGTATCTATTGCTTGTTTACACGTGGTTTTGTGTGATTTATTGACTGCTTTGGGGAGACCTGTGACAAGTGAATCTGAGTAATGGAGCCCAGATGTAATGAAAGCACGCAAAGCTCTCTCTGTGATCCTGGGGAGAGATAGAGTTACCCATTATAGCATTCTTTAAAAGACAAAATGCTGTCATACTGCATTCCTCATACTGTATGTAGTTGGAAAGTTAGATAGAAAAGCCAAAGATGAAACCAGTATTTCTTGTCTCAAGATTAATGTGCTGAAATACTGCAAATACTGTAAATAGCAGGCACTTTTTTGGCTCATCTATAAATCAATGTTACAATTAAGAAGAAATCATTAGTAGTTTTGTTAGGAGAGATGCCCTGATGTTAAAGACAGATTTTATTGTCGAAAATGAGTGAGCACACAAAGCTGATTTTAGCTGAAGAGGCATCACAGATTTTTTTTTTTTTTTTTTAAATTAGATGGCTTTAAATTCCTCTATTTTCACTAGACGGGATAATGGACTTCTGTGAGACTGTGACATAACTCCATGCATTAGGTCAACAGGTGATGCATTTTCATTTTGAAGTCACCATCCAGGTTTCTCTGGATAGTTAACTGACAGTTAAAGGAAAAATGACACGCACAGTTGTGTGTTGTTGTCATGACAAAACTACATCAAACACCAACACCTCAAGCTATTACTCAGCTCCTCTTAGGTTGTGATGACAAACTTCCTGTCACTTAGCTTCCCTTGACGTATTGAGATGCTTCTAGACTTACTAGTCTTGATCTTCATGCTGGCCCACTTCTTATTTACCTGGAGTGAAATTCTAAACTCAGTAACTTGGACAAAAAAGGGGAAATGGAAGGAAACAAGTCATCCCACAGGTGGCAGAAACACAAATATGTTCTGGTAGAAACCCAAACAGTATGAACCTGAATATAAAGACAAAACATGGGACGTTTAAAGTCTGCCCTGCTACACTAAAAGCTTTTTTTGGCTAGTAGGGACAACTAAGGGACATGCGGCCATTACAGATGTGTTTGCCATTTTGTTTTTCCCTCCTGTGTATATGTTAAAAATATTTTTTTACAGGTTTAGAAAGAATCGGAACAAGCACAGGAGAAAAACAAAGCTAGGCCTTTGGCCACCACAGCTAAAAAAAACAACAACCCAGAACATTGCTGTCCCATTAAGTCAAAGAGTGTTGTAGAAGTTTGAGCCAAAAAGACATGATTTTAATAATTTAACAACAAGAAGTAAATGAAAGAATAAATCTATGTCAAAACAAACAGAGAAAATACAAAGACAAAAGTGCACTATAAATCAAAAATGACAAGGTGCAAGACATATTGTACATGTTTCTCTTTAAAATATAATATTTACGTTTAATTTGAAGGAGTCAGCAGTCACACATGGGCAGATTGAAGGCTGCTTCACCTTATTTGTTCTAGTCTTCAAGCAAAAAGTCCAATAAATAACAAAGATAGGACAAAATTTCACATCTCACTGAAAATGAAATTCATAGGTACGACCTGAAATAATTTACACACCACTTATGTCTCTCTGTAGTATTTTTTTTAATTAATATAGCATGATAACAACATTATAATATCTATACAACACAATGCATTGGGATCATATTCTTTGTAGAAATATTTGTATCGTAAATCCACATTGCTGTCAATTTGTCCCAGGGGCCGACTGCAAAAAAAAAAAAAAAGATCATAATAGAATGTATTTACAAATACAAGATACCTTAAAGGGATAGTACACCCAAAAATAAAAATTCAGCCATTATCTACTCACCCATATGCCGATGGAGGCCCTGGTGAAGTTTTAGAGTCCTCACATCCCTTGCGGAGATCGACGGGGGGAATGGGCAGCACACCTAATGGCAGACGGCGCCCCAGACTAACGTCCAAGAACACAAAATTGAATCCACAAAGTATCTCCATACTGTTCATCTGTAGTGATCCAAGTATGCTGCAGCCGCGACATAAAAAGTTGTTTCGAAAAACGTCACATGAACTCTGTTTTTAGCCTCACTGTAGCCTGTAGCTCTGACTGCTTCTCTGTGCTCCGCGCTCACGTGTGCGCGCTCGGGGTGATTGGTGATGCACGGTCTCTGAAGAGCAACACTCTCGTCAGTACTGATGTCCAGATTCTCAAGTGCAGGCATCGCCAATTCCCAGTGTGAGCAGCAAAGACTTTCCTCGTCCTTTGGCATTGCTTTGCATTTGAAACAACTACACCACCAGGTTTCCAGTGCTGGACTCCGGTATTCTGCGGCTGGCTGAGGCTCATGAGCTGCGGCGGCTGCTTCGTCCAGTAGCCTGAGTTCCGTGTGTATACTTGGGCTCAAAGAAATACGGCTCAACAAAGAAATGCTGTTCCTCCTCAACTGCAAAGTCTTCAGACATGTTGGGCTGTCCTTTGCTAAAAGACCATAGTGCAAATTATCTTTTAGCGACTGTGGCTACCGTTGTCTTCCCCTACGGTGCACGTGTCACGGGTGAGCAAAGCAGAGCACAGAGAAACAGTCAGAGCTACATGCTAGAGTGAGGCTAAAAACAGAGTTCATATGACGTTTTTCAAAACAACTTTTTATGTCGTGGCTGCAGCACACTTGGATCATTATGGATGAGCAGTATGGAGATACTCTGTGGATTCAATTTTGTGTTCTTGGATGTTAGTCTGGGGTGCCATCTGCCATTAGGTGTGCTAGCCACTCCCCCCGCCGATCTCCGCAAGAGATGTGAGCACTCTAAAACTTCACCAGGGCCTCCATCGGCATATAGGTGAGTAGATAATGGCTGAATTTTCAATTTTGGGTGCACTATCCCTTTAATGCAAGTAGAATTAAATTCATACTCTTTATATATATTTTTTTTCATAAAATAAAAGACTGAATCAGAAATGAATTATAATTTTAGGCATCAAAACATGCATGTTTTGGTTGCAGTAATATCCAGAGTGACGTTGGCTACTTTTAGTTTTACTCTATATTTAGTCCATATTATTCTTCTAGAAAACAGATACTGCTGTACACACAGAAGCACTAACAGCTTGTGTTAATCATTGGCTCTGATGCTGCTGTCTGAGAGTTGCTTCTGTTTAATTTCTCCTTTTCATTATGTTCTGATTCATCTGTTGGTGTCAGTGGTTGTGGTGACTGCTGAGCTTTCACTTTGAACACATCCCACTTCTCAGGAAGCAGCCCTTTGTTGAAGAGCACAGAAACCAGATAGGAGAACAACAAGATGGCAGCAGTGGCAGACAGCATGGAGATGGTCTTCACTGGAGAGTACTGGACATAAACACCATCCTCAAGAGTGCATCCTGGGAAGTGTATGACTGGTGGTAATCCTAGTGAGGGCTCTCCACTGAGCAGTCTCAACACACATCCCACCAGCAAACCAATAACAGCCCCGTAACCATTGGAGATGTTGAAGAAGAGGACGCAAACGAGTTGAGGGAAGATTACAATGTAGGCCACTTCAGCACCAGTGAACCAAAATGTTAGGATGCTGTTTCTCAGGTTGGTCAGCGATGTACTAATCAAGCCCACTACCAACACAGAAGCACGGATCACCCACTGAGTCTCTCTCTCTGATGCCTGAAAAAGACAGTAGAGAATCACTTTCAAAATAAATGCCATGCCTCTACAATCGCAAATAGTGTAGTCAGATTTCCTGTTGTGATGTAACAAATAGAGGGAACACATGAAGATTTTCACCTGAGGCCTCAGGATGTTCTTGTATATGTTGGAGGTGAAGACAGAAGCTGCAGAAAGCAATGCAGAGTCAGCTGACGACATCACAGCAGCGGCCACACATCCAGTACCGATAATGGAGACAAAGGCCGGGGTGAGGTGCTGCAGGGTGATGGGAAGAACTATAGCTGATTCCCCACGTTCATATGGAGATGGAGAACCATAGGAGGTCAGGTTCCAGTCTGAGGCATGGACACAAAAGGAGGAAACAATGAAGAATGGCAGCGTTCAAACATGCCCCAGACCCCAGTTAACAGTCAGTCAAATAAATTATTTGTCCCATGACACATGGGGGAGTTTCAGTAGTGTCTTCATCACAGATCCTTTCGACATGAGGGTAGAACTTGAAGGAAGAACCTCCTCTTGGCCCCCTCAGTGCTGGCCTGCTGTAGCCATATCTTCTTCCTGACCTCAGCAGGCAGGTGGTTGGGATCTCCTAAACGTATTATTGCGGCACCTGGTGTAAACATCCTTTATGCAAGGTAGAGCAGCACCTATTGTATGTTCAGCCAAACAGGGTCTTACATGGGGTCTTGATGTTCTCCCTTAGGATGCTCTCGATGGTGGAGTAGAAATTCCTCAGTGTTTGAGGGGGTACCTGTAATTTTCTCAAGCATTTGAGGTGAAACAGTTTCTGCCCTGCTGTTCTCACCACTGAGTCAGTCTGCAGCTCCCAGATCAGGCCCTTGGTAATATGCACATCAAGATACTTGAATCTGTCCGCCCTCTCAACAAGGACCCGTTGATATTAAGATGGGGAGAGTTCCTTTACTGCTTCTTCCAAAAGTTGACTATCATCTCCTTAGTTTTGTTGACATTTAGTAGTAGGTTGTTGTCTTAACACCAGCGGGTTAGGTGCTCTGCTTATTTCAGTTAGGCTTTTTCATTTTGACTTGATGATGATGTTAGAGTCCACAGTGGCTAGACAATCATGTGTGTACAGGAAGTACATCAGGGGGCTCAAAACACAGCCCTGGGGTGCTCCAGTGTTCAGGATAATTGCACATCACACTAACACTCTTTGATTCAATTGATCGTTCTTTTTAACTTCGACTTTTTGGCCACCCTACAGGTGGATCACGTTATGGCAATGCCATTTGGTCAGACTATCTATTATTTTGATCCAGGATGAATTATCTAAGCAACTATTGGATTGTATATAATTAATAGCATTTTTTAAGCCTTGTAACCTGCTTTCAGGGCTTGCCACTACACCAAAACAAAGTCATAATGATGTTGTGCTCACTATAGATTTAGATTTCATCTCTGTGCTTATGTTTCTGGATCTCAGTGCAGTTTTTGAAACCACTTGTCACTTGTTTTGGCATTTGACAATTTGGCATCTCTAAATCTAACCTATCTAAGAAAACACTGTGTTTCATACACATCTTTACATTGATATTTTATCATGTGAATAGGGACCTCAGTGTTCTGTTCTTGACCCTCAATTTTTCTCTCTTTACATCTCACCTTTTGGCCAAATGAGACACAGTCATGGAATCAGTTTGCATCTGGTATGCTCATGATACTTAGCTCTATGTGCCCATTGAAGGCAGATTATCATTTCCAAATCATTAAATTACAGGCCTGCTTGTTTGCAGTTAAAGACCAAATTTCAAGTACTTTCCTGGTACCTGAGTGGAATTTCTTGCCCCTCCACTAAGAGATAAGAGACCAGCAGTGACACCAGAACCTCACTCAGAGACACTTCAGCGGAGGGTAAAGTGGCTGCCACAGACCTTCCAGATGGACAGTCTTCCTTGACTTTTATGTTAAGTTTGTCTTTGCAAGATGAGAATATAGACATCAATTTTCCAGATTTACCAGCATGTAGAAACTGTTCATACCTGTGGATGCAGCAGCTGCCCCGAGCAGTACTGGAGGTATCCCAAATATAAGTAACACGAAAGCAGCAATAAGACACATGACCTTTGCTGTGGACGTGGAAGATGCCGACAAGGTCCTCTGGTGGAAGCACTGATATCCCATACTCCCCAGTGCCTTAAAAGTAAAACAGTTAGTTGGTTAATTTAATCACTTGTGTGTCATTGTGAAGATATCTATCAAGCCTGTTGGGAATTGCTTTCAATATACTGTAAGTATATATGCTGTTTCCTTACAAAGAATAAGAAATCGTCCATCATTATCCAGGTCTTTTTCAGCCCCGGTCTACCAAGCCAAGGAGCATGTAAGGTGTTGTTCCTCAGTGTCTCACCAATGTCCAAGGAGTGTGGGTNTGTTGTTCGTCAGTGTCTGTCCAATGTCCAAAGAGTATGGGTTCATCAAAACAAAGGGAACACAGATCCACTGCAGAGACAAATACAAACGGAGACACACACAATGTTTAAAGACATACTTTGAAGTTTTTGATGCCTTGTGTGAGAGTGGTTTCTGTTTCCTTCAAACAAATAGACTGACACTATAAATACTTGAGGTATAGCAAACTTACCAAGCTGACGAATAAGAGCACAAGCTGTATAATATCTGTGTAGGCCACAGAGTAGAGACCTCCCAGCAGTGTGTAGGTAATGGCAACGGCAGCAGAGATCCAGATGCACACAGTGTAGGACAAATCCAGGACCACACTCATGGTTCCTCCTGCAAACACATTATATCGAAGACTTGCAGTGGATTTGGCACAAATTTGATGTCAAGCAGGACTGATTGCCTGGTGCACCCCTGCAATTTGATTAGCTCCTTCCTAAGTACTGAAGTACTGTTGTCCTCATTTGCTTGTAGTTGGCAGTAGTTTGTGTGTCTTTCAGAGAAGACAGTATCTGCCAGAGGTGGTAGTATGTCACTTATGTGCAAGTCTTAAATCTTAACCTTCAAGCCTTAACCAAGTCCTGAGTCACTGTGGTGAGAATCAAGCAAGTCACGTTATCCTCTCAGACTCATAAAGACAAAATAAGTTGCACCAATTGGTGGAATGTAACTAAATACATTAACTTAGATACTGTAAGTACAAATCCGAGTCTTTTCTCCTTATGCCACTTTCTACTTCTACTCCACTGCATTTCTCTGACAGCTTTAGATACTAGTTACTTTACCAATAAATATTTTTGCACAGAAAACATAAAACACATATGAGTAGGCCTACAACTGGAACTATTAGTCAATTAATGAATTGAAGGAAAATAAATTAGCAACTGTTTTGATACCCTGACCTGAAATTTAAACTGGACCTGACCACCTGACCTTTTATGGACACATGATCTTGCTCATGAGTCCATAAACTATACTATATACCCTTTTATGTGATTGATAAGTCCCTGAACTGTATCAGTCTGCATAGTAGACTGTGTTTGGGTCTTATTCCTGTTACCCTGCTTACTTGAGCTGTGACAAAGAATTACCAAACATGCAGCAGGCAGCAGGACTTCGCGGTAATATTTAGCGACACAGCCATCCAAAATCACAGTGCATACAAATGGGAAATTAAGCAGTATAACAGGAAATTTACATTCATGGCTACATTTATTTTACTGACATGATAAAAGCAGTGACAAAAATGTGTATATATTAATGCATATACCGCACCTAATCCAATTAGTGTTGTGGTCACCATGAGTGCATCTACACAAAGTGAAGCCAGGCTCAGTCCACCTGTTAGTGCTTTTCCATACTTGGCATGGAAAGGGTCCAGCATGGTCACACAGTTTCTTTCTCTCAGAGGCTTTGCAAACACTGAGCCAGCTTGATGTAAAAGAGGTCAGAAGATTATTAGAAAACAAATTAGAAAACAAAAATAATAATCAAAGGATGGGACACACCGAACACAAGAGAAAGAAACATTCAAATGTAACATAACACCCTGAGGTACAGTAAAGTGCAATTTATACATCTGTTGTTGTGTGACCATGCATTCTTTGCAGGCTCACCTCACGGAGTTTAGGCATGTATAGATCCCTTGACTGTTAGTAAACAGTATGATTGTTTTCTGGTTGGCTCCATAGAGATGCCAGGACAGCATTACTAGGCCAGCACCTTCTCATTCCTTGCATTCCCCCAACATTATGCAAACATTTTTTTCTTATTAATTTGTCTATCAGAAGCTTCCATTTTCCAGTTCACTTGCTATATTGCTCTCTTTTTTTGGGTTAAATCATCTTTAGAGGAGGGATCATACAAGTGACGACATCGTCTAACTTGCTTTGCTAGCCGCTCTTCAAACTGGTCCATGCTTGTCCTGGCTGTTGTAACAGATGTGAGGTACTTGTTCATAAATCTCCTCCCAGTTTATATATTCCAAGAAAAATCTGTGGTGTCTGCAATGCCTGGCATGTAGTCACATGTTTTGGCATGTCTCTGTGGTTCTGGAAGCTCTTTCCACATCAGTATAAATCAGGCATACGTGTTCTGTAAATTCTGTGATCTTAAATGTGCTGTCTTAGTGAGTCATTATTTAATTTCTTCCTGCTTTACTGTTTAGCTTCCATACAGCCAAGCACAACTCAAGTTTGTTGGTATTGTCAGGGATACATGGAGTCATTTTTGTGTGTCAACTTATTAAACAATGACAGTTAAATATGACAGTATCCTGTCATGTACTTTCAAACTCATACCAATAATAAAAGATGAGCTGTACGCCATTATCATCATGAGTGTCCAGGTTAGTCCCATAGAGGGCGTGTAGATCATCTCAGCTGTTCCAACGATGAAGCCTCCTCCAACCCACGTAGCTACAGGAGGAATTAACACACAGCAAGTAATGTAGTGGACAAACAGCAGCTATTTGGAAAGGGGACAAAAGGAGAAAATCTTAGATGATATGTAAAGAGATTTGTCTGACAGAGGAGGAGAGTTGATTACATTAATTTAAATATCTTTGCAAATATCTTTCTGATTGTGATATATACTGAGCCCCGCATGATTCCTGCTCCATGATGGTTACAATTATCTTTTTGATTCTGTTGCATGCTTCATTCCATCCAGCCACTCGCCTGCTTCTCATTTCTCTATCAGCCTCGCATTGTCTGCATATTGATCCATTGGCACTCATTCCTGGCTGTCTGTCAAGTTCGCACCTGCGCTAGCTTTCCAGCCTTTGTGTGTGCATGCCTGATGGACAGATTTATGGTGACTGGTCGCAACCAGTCAAACTTGTCCAGACAGGGACAAGTTTGACTGGTTCCGACCCTTGCCTGCTTTTAGAACTCAGTAAATGAGAACTTTTGTTTTACTCTGACTGTCTTTGTTGTGCTTTTGTGTAAGAGGTTGTTGTCTTTCTGAGCTATGAGTCTTATTGCTTAATCGAAACTGATAACAATCTGGACTGGTATCACAACACTGATGCCCTCTAAAGTAAGAGACAGAGCAGACTACTTTTATTGTAATATTGTTTTAGTTAATAAACTTCTTATTATTTAATTCTCTGTTACTTTCTATACTGTCTACGAGCTCTGACAGTGGGGCTGGTATTATAACCTTCTGATTTTGTGTGTGTGTATGTCGGATGTTATTGCGTGACGTCTGTCTGTCTGTCTGTCTGTCTGTGAACAGATTTTGGCAACGCAATAGCATCACAACCATGCAAGGTGCAGTCAGATCTACAGGTGTGTTATTGAGATCATAATGAGGGCCAAGTTCTAAGTTGGGTGTGGTCCAAGCAAGGGTGCAGGAAGTAGGGGGATAGGAATTAGAGAAGGAGCTATTGGCCCTCCCACTTTAAGCCCCTGGCCAGTGTTTGTTTAAAGCCACAGAATCACCACTGCGGCAGGTGCGATCCCATCATAAGATGGTCGCTAATCGATATTTATGTCAACTGAATTTCCCCAATAAAGGTGTATCTCATCTTAAATTTTGCAGCTATATAACACTCACACTGAACAAAACACTGAAGATATTAATATATCCCTATTAACATATTTCCTAAATAATCACTCTACTTTTGTCAGCTGTGTGCTCCTCACCTGTCATTGTGAAGATCCCCACCACCATGTTGATACTCCTGTTCCCCAGCAGGGTCATCTCCATTCCAGGGGCTCCACTTTCCTTCTGTTTCCTCTTGGACTTGAAAGAAGCCCAGATGCCGGTCCCAAGGACCAACAGGTAGAAAAACGCCATGGCTATCACTCCTGGGATGTTAACAGCCATGATGGATGCTGACTGTCTTCTCTACTGGCTGATGTCCAACTGACTGAGTGACTGAGAATGACAGAAAACAGGGGTAACATAGCAGAACAGGGAAAACAGAATCCTCCCCCAGTTTAACAATACCCTCTGGCTGGCTGCAGGTTTAGGCAGGTTTAATAACTTGGCAAACATACAGAACTTGTATGTATGCATCTTAAGCCTATGGAACATTCACCATTGAACATTAAAGTTACTACTTGGCATTGGGCGGGACCTCGGACTCACGCCGTTCCGGCCTCCAGCTCACGTAGACAGTTAAAGACAAAAGTTTTAGACGATTTTAGACCCCTCTTCACTAGGGGTGTGCTTGAATAAAAATACGCTATTCGTATAGGCATTAATAATGCCTTTGAAAGCGCGTTCCACCGGCAGACATTATATCCAATTATCCATTGCTGTTATTCACAGCGACCGTATTAGTGTAACTCCGACCCTGTACTGGGCTGAGACTAGACAGTAGCTAAGCCTACTTATGTCCCATAGGCTGCTGAGAGCTCTACGGTGCGAGCATTTCACTCACATTTGCGACTAAAAATAGTTTAGTGTGAGCAAAAGAAATCATTCAGGAGCACGCTGTGCGAGTACAGATTTCAACCAGCAGCAGAAACGAAAGGCGAATCCTGCCGGTTGTGGGTTGAATTGGGGTCACAGACAGGAATACAGCGGAGCACTATGGCCACCGCAAGATAACGTTTACCGGCTCCAGCTCCAATAATTTCCTCTTCATTGGCGTCATGCTCCCCAGTGACTGTTAGCACCTAACCCACTGTGGGTCTATTAGGGAATATACTAAAATATACCAACTGGGCTGCATGATGTGTCTGGTTTATGCACTGATAAGGGACTGTTCTTACGTTATCAGAGGAGGAGGGTGGCTGGTTGATTTTATTTATTAATTTTATTTTGATCCCCGCTGTAGCCACAAATATTTTTCCTTGACCTTTTCAAAGTGACTGGTGGATTTGATTTGTAAAGCTGTTTTCTCTCCCAGTCCAAACTGATCATTCATTGACCCATATTAGAGACTGGCCTAGCCTATTTCCTAACAAAAAGCTCAGTGACAAAATGTTTAAAAGAGTGTGTTCATTAAATCTTCATTTTCCTAGTTCAAATTGTCTGGTCAGTGTTATTCTTATATAAACTAAGTCTTATATAAACTATTCCCAATGCAAAACAGATTATAATAATAATAATAATTATTATTAATATTATTATTATTATCATTATTATTGAAAATGAAGTATGAGGATATGGAAATATATTTCAGAATTATTATATGCCAATATTAAATCAATTTGATGCTTTGAATGCTCAGAAATTGCATTGCCAATGAATATAAAGTTAGAAAATACAATGTAACACAACTTCCGGCATAAGCCACGCCCACTTCCGGTTTTTATCCGAGTACAGATAATTTTGTTGGTTGAACAGATACAAATACAGATACAGATAATGACGTCTCTGTGCATCCCTACTCTCCACTCTAGCTCATAGCTGACAATTTCTCCACATTTGCTCATGTTACCTTCAGAGGCACTAGCTCACTTCCTGTTGGATTTAGGTCAGGGGCGTAAGCGTGTGATTTGTGACGTCACCTTGAAGAGGCCATAAAATCCAAACCAAAGACGGCGGGAGAAAGACTAAAGAAAGAAAGAAAGAATAATAATAATAATAATAATAATAATAATAATAATAAACGTACCAAAAACGCTGCCTTTGGCAGAGGTCCCTAAAAAGCAGAACTTTATAGCTTTGCTGGAAGTTATTGAAGCAACTACTTACAGATGTAGCCACTTCAAATTTCCGTTTGGCCCGTGGTGGAACCCTGATCGATCCGTGACAGGTGCCTTTCATCACCTAGCTGGTCTCGTAGCTTTAATGAGATCCCCCATGATGATGTAGAGCATACAGGGCTGACTGGTAACGCCCCTACATTTAATTTGTAGAAACCAGTTGCTACATCACTCACAAATGACCAGAAATCTGATGTAAATTATTCTGATTTTGATTGGGTTTTTTTTTTTTTTTTTAAGCCACTACAAGGAACTTTTAACTGGATATGCAAAAGTCTCTCGTTTCTGCTGATGTCTGTGTGTGACCTACAACAGCAAATGAGGTGTGAAGATAAGCTATTTCTATATAGTGTATTTCCATACCTTTAGGAAACTGTCTCCGGGTCCATCCCAGGTCGCTTCCAGGACAAAGCGATTTACGGCACTCAGACGGCACACGTCATCTTACCTTGCTGCTTACATTTAGTGACTCTTATAAATAGTCGCTATTCCTCCTCCTCGACCCGACATCCGCGGGGAGTTAAAATAGCAGCAATCATCGGGTAAAAGTTCTGTGAAAGCACTGGACTCACCAACAGTCAGCCACATCTCAGTCACACAGAGAAAATCCAATCCTCAGGAAGTCAGGAAATCCTTCAGGATAAACGTTTTGTTCGCTAGCGATCTAGCATTTACCAGCCCAATCTTGGCAGGAGCCGGCAGGTCCACGGCGTTAGCTGTCCGGAGAGCCACACACAGAGGCCACAGGTTGCGCAGATTCACCCCATGCCAGTGGGGACGAGGAGAGCAGGGGCCACGGGGCTGGAACACCTCATCCGGGCCAAAGACAGGTACCAGCCAGGCGTCGACAGGGTCCAGCGAGTGCCAAAAAATAAAGAGGCGAGGCACCGCTCCATACTCAGTCCAAGAAGCCATGGAAGTGCTCGCCAAACAGGCCTTCAGCCTTACCAGCCGACAGATGCGTTTACCCAGGCAGCAGTGGCGCTTACGCAAGAGAGGTGAAACTGGGGCGAGGCAGAGGTGAGCTGGGATCCCCGATAGGAGCGGGGGCAAAGTTTTCCCGTCTTGTTGTTTCATTCATCCCCAAAACAAACACATGCGCGAGCCAGATAAGCTTCTTTATGACAATACACGCTAGAGCTCATGGGAAATGTAGGCTTCATTCCGGCAAAACACTACTGCTTTTGTCCACTGGGTCGCCAAAATCAACTCAAAATGAAAGTTCCTTGTAAGGGCTTTAAAGAAAGAAAAAAAGTGTTAAACCTTTCTTAGACCTTAAAAAAACATAATGTGCATATCAAATGAATGTACATCTCAAAAGCTACTAAGAAAAAGAGGGATCATTTTAGGAGTGCAAAAATTTTTTATTTTGGAGTTCTATGAGCAATATAGTAGTATTTAGTGCACAGTATTTTATGCTTCAAGAAAACATACGACTGTACAAAAAGAAACTAAAAGCTTGTGCTAGTCAGTGGCTCTGATGCCAAAGTTTGAAAGTTTTTTCTATTCAATTTCTCCTTCTCAGTATGTTCTGTGGCTGCATCTGTTGGTGTCAGTGGTTGTGGTGACTGCGGAACTTTCACTTTGAACACATCCCACTTCTCAGGAAGCAGTCCTTTGTTGAAGAGCACAGAAACCAGATAGGAGAACAACAAGATGGCAGCAGTGGCAGACAGCATGGAGATGGTCTTCACTGGAGAGTACTGGACATAAACACCGTCCTCAAGAGTGCATCCTGGGAAGTGTATGACCGGTGGTAATCCTAGTGAGGGCTCTCCACTGAGCAGTCTCAACACACATCCCACCAGCAAACCCATCATAGCCCCATAACCATTTGAGATGTTGAAGAAGAGGATGCAGACAAGTTGAGGGAAGATTACGATGTAGGCCAATTCAGCACCAGTGAACCAGAACACCAACATGCTGTTTTTCAGGTTGGACAGTAACGTACCAACCAAGCCCACTACCAACACAGACGCACGGATCACCCACTGACTCTCTCTGTCTGATGCCTGAAGAAGAAAGTAGAGAGGAAGAAAAACAGATTAACAACAAATGATGAAGACTGTTCTGTTTTAATGTCTCTCACTGCTTCTTTATCTTATAAACTCTTTCCAGTTTGGTTCTGTCTCATGCCACTTTATTCCATTTATACTCCCTTGCATTCCATTCCCTTTCTTTCAAAATAAACATCAAACGTGAACAATATATCAAAAATTTCTTTGATGTGATGTACCAAACTGAAAGAACATATGTATTTTTTATACCTGAGGCCTGAGAATGTTCTTGTATATGTTTGAGGTGAACAAAGAAGATGCAGAAAGCAGCGCAGAGTCAACCGATGACATCACGGCAGCAGCCACACATCCAGTACCAATAATGGAGACGAACCATGGGGCGAGGTGCTGCAGGGTGATGGGAAGAACTAGAACTGATTCCCCACGTTCATATGGAGATGGAGAACCATAGGAGGTCAAGTTCCAGTCTGAGGCATGGACACAAAAAAAGTAAACACTGAAAAATGGTTACATTATTTGTTTGAGGGATTTTGAGAAGTCCCTACTGTACATACTAAGTTGTAAAGTAAGCAATCCGTGATGAGAAGTATGGAGAAATATGGATGCTAATAACTTGTATATTCTTGCTGATACCAAGGGTGTGCCACAGGGATCCACCTTGGGCCCTCTTCTTTTTACAATTGACCTACTGTTTTGTCTCTCTTGTGCTTGAAATGAATCTTCATATAGAAAATAATATTTTATATTGTGTTGCTGATTCTGTCTATTTAGACATTTAGAAGGTGTAACTCTTTTTTAAGCCTCATGCAAAAACAACAAATTCACTGTTTTGTCATCCATAGATATAGATTACATCAATTTGCATATCATTTGAGCTGTAGCAAATGTTTTACTGACTATTTAGAGAAAGTGACGGTACTTGTTGTCATTGTTGTAATTATTGGCATTAGTAGTTCTCTTGTTGTGGATTCATTGTTTTGTTTTCTTTTGTTGTCCTTTCCTAGGATTTTTAGTTTTTTATTATTACGTAATGTTTAATTGTGTGGACTCCAGGAAGAGTAGTTGCTACCCTGGTTGTGGCTAATGGGGATCCAAATAAATAAATGAATAAATGGTTCAATATTTGGAAGATTGTGGAACAGAAATATTTTGGCATCTGGCTTAATCAGGGTT